ATAAAGACTCTAGCCAACAGCTTTAAACATGGGGTTCTCATTTAACTCTTATGCACAATAGTCATTTGATTGATCTATCCCATGTGCACTTCCCTAATTCTTTAAAAGGCCATTTGCTAATTAACTATGTGGTAGTACATTCCAACATTTAATTATGTCTTGTACATCCTGACCCCTGAAATGATCGAACTGCACAGCTCTTGTAGGATCAACTTGTCTAACTTACTGCCAGTGCTAAAACATATTCACATTCTTTATGCTGGTAGTATGAGAGATTCTTGTTACTCCATTACACTTTGTTAATGAATCACACCAATGTTAGTTAATAGGCTAATTAAATTTTTAGATTTTTATATAAGTAAAATAACAGTTCTGAAGAAAGTGTTTTGCTTCTTTTCAGATTATGGATATAAGTATCATAGTAGACATTATTCTGAAGCAACATCACCATGGGTTATTGAGAGTTTTCCAGGCTGTTTGACCATGTTCCAGAAGCATTCTCTCCTGATGTTTCGCCTGCATCTATGGCAGGCATCCTCAGAGGCTGTGAAGTCTGTTGGAAAGTAGAAAAATGAGGTTTATGTATCTGTGGAATGTCCAGGGTGGGAGAAAGAACTCTTGTCTATTTGAGGCAGGTGTGAATGTTTTAATTAGCCACTTTGATTAGCATTTAATGATCTAGCAATTTCAAGGTATGGCTTCTCACTGCCTGGGTGAATCCTTTGTTGGGAGATGACTAGGTGGCCCTGATTGTTTCTTATCTGGAATACTCTGTTTTTGAGTGTTGTTCATTATTTACTGTTATAATTTTATAGTTTTTAAATACTGGTAGCCAAATTTTGTTCATGTTCATGTTTTCCTCCTTTCTGTTGAAATTGTCCACATGCTTGTGGATTTCAACGGCTTCTCTGTGTAGTCTGACATGGTGGTTGTTGGTGTGGTCCAGCATTTCTGTGTTCTCAAATAATATGCTGTGTCCAGGTCGGTTCATCAAGTGCTCTGCTATGGCTGACTTCTCTGGTTGAATCAATCTCCAATGTCATTCATGTTCCTTGATTCATGTTTGGGCGCTGCCCAACATTACCATGATTTCTAACTGTATAAGCTATTGTCATGACAAAGTAAATCTGGAACAGATGTACTTGAAGGCTAACTTATCAACAAACTCTTGCTTTCAGGAAGATTCCCTTTAAGATAACCTTGCCCCGAGGGACCAGATTGTCTAGGAAAAGTGGGAAGTCATGTGTACTAGCACATGTAAATGCATTAACAAATGAACAAAAAAGGGCCAGGGAGTAACCGTTCAATGAGTTCACACTATGCTACAGAATCCACCTGGGATGCATCCACAAGCTATGTGTGAAAATTAATTCTCAACTTTTGCACATGACAGCATAGAGTGCCTCATGGCATCACCAGAGTAAAGCAGATTTTGTAATCTTGGTTTTTGAAAGTGACACATTTGAAAGGTTTTCAAGGGAACAGTTTTCAGAGATATCAGCCATTAAACTTTATTGAATGTTTAGATAATTGTGGTAAGATGTCTTGTGCAATATGGATGTGCTTGCTTGCCACTATTATTTTGTTCATATCAGTATTTTTTATGTTGAAAATACTGTATTTTAATTGATAAGCTTTTTTGAGAGATTTAGAATGTATTTCTAATTAAAATTCATTAACTGGGGGATACTTTGCAATTCTTATATTTTCCCCTACAGAAACCACCTTTACAGTGTGTTGTTTTTAATTGCTGCCAACTCTATTTCGAATTATGGCAACTCATGTGGATAAGAGATCTCCAAACCATCGTGCTATCAACAGCTCTGCTTAGTCTTGCCAGCTCACAGCTGTGGCTTCCTTGACTGAGTCTGTCACCCTGTAATGCCACCTTCCTTTTGTCCTCTTAGATATGTCCCACTTCCTTCCATCTTACCAAGCATTTCTGTCTTTGACAATAAGGCAATTACTCTAATGAGTTAGCTGACAAGTGGAAACAGCTACTGGGCAAATAATAGTGGTGCATGTAGGAGTGACATTGGCAGAGGATACTTGAGAAGCAATGGCACTTTAGTTAACAGTTGTTGGTACTAAGCAGAAGGAGACACTGACAATCCATTTCTCAATATATCTTACCAAGAAAATGCTATGATGAGAAATTACTTTTACTTATTGGTGCTCAAGTCCTTCTCCCTCTGAATTTTATCTCCTCCTTCCATAAAATTTTTCTTGCTCCACCTCTAGTTGTGAGTCTGATTTTCAAAGTAACACAGCTTTACAGTATTTTGCACCAATACTGTAAAGCTGCATCAGCTAGGATGACAGAAGCAATAAAAGCTGCCAGGACACTGGCATTCTTTCCACCTTGCTGGGCAAAAAAGGATAAATGTGTGTAAGTCAGTATGCAAATGGGTCTTGTGGCATCTTAAAAAGCAACTGAAATAAGTTTGATGCAAAAGTGCATCAACACTTTTGTTTGTAAATCAGAGGCCAGTTTGGGGGCAACTGCACTGACCATCTCCATCCAACATTCGTAGCAGGGTATCGTCCAGATCTGAAATTCATTCAGTCTTATTGGGTAGCTTTGTGGCCATCTCCCTTCGTGTTTGTCAGTAGGAAGGGATATCTGTAATCATCTGATACCATGATGGGAAGATGGCACAGGCCTGATTTATCCTGTGCTGTCAAGTGCAGGGAAAAAGAGATGGTTACACTGACCCATTTGGACAATGAACCAGTTTGGATTAACGCCAGTCTACCTGTCCACACTCAACATGAAGTGTGGGGTTGCTCTGGAGCTTCATGGAGCTCTGGAGTATTCCCTGATGTTGTGTAATGTGGAGTAAAACTGGGTTAACCTGGTCCCCTGCATGATAGATCCATAATGTCAATGGATGCCATTTCGATTTTGAAGATCAACATCTGGTACATATCAGGTTTTTAAGCCATTGGAGATAACCCCTTCCTCAGATGGATCTAAGTTATTGTCTAAGGTTCTTCAAGATCCTTTTGTATACTGATATTCCAGATAATACAGCCATGTGTAGGTTAGGCATTCCACCTGATTTGCTTATAAGACAAGAATGGGACTATTCTTCATATGATTAGTCTTTCCAAGAAAGGGGGTCACACAAGGAGAGTAAAATCTGTTTCCTCTCAGCTTAACAAATTATTCGCACAGTGACTTCCAGCAGTTTCTTATTCCCTCACCAAAAACTGAAAAATCTGAAGAGGAGGTAATTTATGTTTCTTTGTGTGTGTACAGTAAGGGAAAAAAAAGACTGTGGTTTGAGAGTGTGAGATTGACAATGTCCTCTTATATATGTCTATCCCCAAATTAAATCCAGCTAAGTTCAGTGAGGTTTACTTCCAGGAAATTGGACATAACCTGATAAATGGGAAAAGGAATCAGCTTAGCTCTGAGCTTCTGAGTTGACAAGCTAACGGCATTTGGGCTTACACTTTAAATCCAGAGGTTTCTCAATTTGAGGTGGAATTCCAATTTTGCTGCTGTCAGAGAATGGAGTTGTTTGCCTGTAGCAATGCTGAACTTGTATATTTGCAAATAAGTCAATGTTTACAAAAATCCTCTTAAGTGTTCAGTCAGCACAGGAAAGTTACGCTTTGTTCCTGGAATGTCTTACCAAACAACTTAGAGGAGGAGTGGGGGAATAAAAATATTTTGTAGGGAACTGACATGGACAATAAAAAAAGAAAGCACCTCTGTGTAGAACTGAACACTTGATATTAAAATTGACACTAATGAAACTGCATCTGCACTGTTCAAACCCTGAAAGTATTACTTTGGGCAAGGCATGTGTATGTGGTTCCTTACATTGATCTGATTGTGGGAAGAGGCAGATTTGATTGCCATTAAGCTTCAAATTGGTTCCTGATTAACCATGATGGCAGAAAAATCCACCAGACCAAACATCTACAGCGCTGCATTGGAGGCCAGGTAATACAGTGATTCCTCTGGCTCATCCCCTTGTCCTCTGTGTCACTGCTAACACCCCTTACCAGCCATGGAACTGGCTATTATGGTCTTATCCACTGAGGTCATAATGGGGGTCCCATGTGACCAACAAGGAAAGGTTAGGTTTCATTGATGCCTAATAAATAGGCGTTCATGTTTATCTTATATCTCATGCTCTGTTCATTAATGCAGAAAATCTAAGATCATTCTTAGAATTCTTCTAATGTTTTTATCACATGAGGCTCATACATTACAACTGCAGCAGGATAACAGCATGTTTGGCTGGTACTTATTAGTGATGATACTGTGTTTCTCCTGTTATTGCTTTGCATTTCAATTGTTCATGGACCAACTTTTTTCACTGACAGGAATATCTACCAATATTGCAATAATTCGAGTATTGCCTCTGGTGTGATGGGTCCCTTCCACTGCAGTTCCACTATTTCAGCAATCACGTGTTGTAAGTGGGGTCATTTTCTTCCTCTCCTCAATATTCTCAAACAGGATTTTTTTCTTTTTCTTTTTTAGCATGATTGCCAAGAAGTGCAAAGGTGATTGTTTCCATACTAATACATTTCAGTCTGCTCCAACAACAGGCTCATGTGATAAAGCTTTAAGAGATAAGATCATCTAAGGTCAGTTCTTTCAACAAACTTGTTTTCTCTTGTTTTTCTGTTTAGCCTTGGGATCTTATATTATTGAGGCTATTATCCCTGGGATTGGATGAACCCCTGCCTTCCAGAATACTGTCTGCTTCTTCCAATAATTTTCTCATGATCAGGTATGTGAGCCTCCTAGGAAATTCTAAGGGTGGTCCGCGAGAAGGCCTTACTGGTACATTATTTAAACTGTTATGTTTATTCATATCATGATCTGATCACCATGCTCAATATATCCCATATGCATGAGGATATTGGGATAATGATACAAAAGGTTTGCTAGGGTAGATCCTCAAACCCCCCCCCCAAATCAAACTCAGCCCACCCACACACCCCCACCCCCCGAATCAAACTCAGCACCCCCCGAATCAAAATCCTGGCTACAGGCCTGGTTGCAGCTCCTTGGGGAAAAAAGTCTCAGCAGCTCCTTGGGAAAAAAGTACTAGATATAAAAATATAATAAATAGATGTATACTTAGTCATTCAGATGGTATGAACAAAGAATAAGTGATTGAACTCTCCCCCTTTTTCCATTGAGGTAGTATAGTTTTTTCTTCTTCTGTGATGTAGATTTTGTAACTTTTGGCACAGCATTGGCCTTGGCCAATAGGTCCATAAAAAGATTTGTGTAGTTATAGGATTTACTGCTTTAATTGTGGCAATTCTTAGAGTCCCATCACAAAAAATATAATATTATAGTATGGTGCATATTTTACATAAAAAATTGGTTTCTGGTGGAAGACAGTCCTCTGGCAGTTTTGGGATTCCATCCAGTACTTTCAGGTTTGGCAACTTGGAGAAGACACTAGAAGAAAACAAAATACAGAATTAATATTTCTTCTCTTGATATTCTGTACTATTGACAGTAGTCTCCATGTTGTCTCTACCATCTGATAAAGAATAAAAGAGGATTGAAAGATTAGGGTTCCTTTCATTTCACAATCCACTATCATCATAGGTTAATTTTACAATCTCACAGTGGAAGCAGTTCAGGAGAATTAATCACACTGCAGAACTATGGTGGTGTAGTAGTTTGAGTACTGAACTCCAATCCTCACTCAGCCATAGAAACCCAATGAGAGACCTTGGGCGGGTCACACTTTCTCAGCCTTAGAGGAAAGCAATGGTAAGCCTGAACAAATTGTCCCAAAGAAGCCTTGTGATTATTATAAAGAAGCCTTTATAATAATCTTCTGCTGCAGACCACTATCTAGGAGGGTCTATTGTTCTCTCAAAAATATTTATGGAGTGATTATTATTGTTTCTGGACAGCAGGAATGGCAGTAGTATACATTTAAAGTGAAAATGTGTCATGGGAAGTTGACCTAGTTCTGTCTTTAAGACACCTTGGGACAACAAGCTAAAGTAGCAGTTTTGGGTTGTAATAGTGAATTCTTGTTTAGTATGTTACTATTTTCCTTCTACTGACAAAGAAGAGAAGAGGTGTTGTGGGGGGACAAGAGCTGCCTCATGTGCCAAAATAACTCATTAGTGGGAGGCATGACTTGCTGCTCCATGTCAGGTAGCAAAAACAACTGAGCAACTGTTCTGGTAGAAGACAGTGGGATTTGCCCTTTATTCAGTTTTGATGCCTTGTGCCTGAAATAAATTTGCTAGCGCTCTCTCTCTCTCTCTCTCTCTTTCTCTGTGTGTGTGTTTAAGTCCTATTTTTGTTGCAGCAACCAACTCTAGAAAGAGCAAAAGAAAGCATGGATACATAGAGATTAGTTGTGACTGAGCACAACATGTGGGAATAGACTTAAAATTATTTTCCATGATGCCAATCTAAAATCAGAAGACATAAATTTGCAGCGACCATGGTTGTTGATGCATTAAGGAATTTGTGATCACTTCAGTTCTTTTCTTAAGCCAGGTAGGAGGAACTTTTGGCCTTTCATGTGGGCTCCAACTCCCTGGACTTCCATGCAGCTTGGCTAATGAGAAAGGATTATGGGAAAAGAGAACCAAAATATCTGGAAGGGCAAAGGTTCCTCACTTCTGTTATAAACTTTTTCTTGCCTGGCCACAGGAGCACTGAATAGACATTTCCCTTGCAGGTGCATCATATCCCTGCTTATGTCTTTTCCTCCCACTGTTTTACCCTCTGCTTGTCATGGGCCAGACATATTTGTGTATGCAATCAGATTCTTAGCTGCCTGTCACTACCATCATTTTTCTAGGGAAGTTTACAGCATAAAATGCAGCCTCTATTAATAAAATTGTAATACATATAAGAAGTGTTTCTGAGTGAGCTTGTTCGAGAAAATGGTGATGCTTCTGGCTTTCTGTTGCAGCTGCCAGTTAAAATCTAGACTGCTTCAAAAAATTTGGATACTCAAGAATGTAGCTAGGAAAGTGGGTGCCAAATCGGGGCACTACCTTGCAAAGTAAAGATTCTTCCTCTCAGATTATTTTTTTCTTCAGTCCCCAAAGATCTAACATTGCAGTAACATAAAACTTTTGTTGAGCATTTAGAAATGCAGTTTAGGTATCCAAAGAAAAGGAGTAAGAGAAATCACTAGCAGAATATTAACACAGTACAGTAAAGAATACACTTACGTACATTCGGTATGGGAAGAGCAATGGTCTCTCTAAATGTTTTATAGATCCTCCAGGAAATACTATGGTATAGTTCCCCCAGAAGGTGCCAGAGATTTGCTTTGGAAGAGGTAGAAATTTTCTATAGGGAATAGCTCTCTAGGAATGTTTACGTTCTCCAGTACAATTCTGTGGTATCCCAGAACTAGAAGGGAGGTGATTCAACAGCATTCAGACATATTTATCATTTCACATAATGATGGTCTGGCTGAAAATATATTCCCTGTAGATACTGGTATTGTACAGTAGATATGTGAATGTGAATGCTTTTCAGTGTCTCACTCTCTGTACCATTAGAAATTTGGATATTGAATGCACATTTCATGGGGGAGGACAGAATTCTTATTTTGAGGGGCAACATGCTCATTTTGCTGAACCTTACATAATCCTCTGTGTGTGTGTGTGTGTGTGTGTATGTGTGCAACCCTGACCCCATGCCCTTGACAAAGCATAGCCCTACATTTCAGATACAGTACAGACATCACGTCCCAGATGCAGCCCTGCCTTTAGTTGGTGTAAGAAACCACCTCAGGTGGTGGATGGTATTGGGCAGCAGCAGTAGTTCCCTTGCGATCTATGACACATATTCTATTCTATTACTCCAACTCCGACATAGACATAAAATTCAACTAGCAGTCAAAACTGCTTCTGTATGTGAAATAGGAGAGGAGTTCTTACTGAAAAGTCAACTTCCCTCTTAATAACAATAACTATAAATTGATAACATATTTTAGAGCCAAGATCAGCTGTAGCTCAGCTCCAAACATTCCTGGGAGGATTCATCTGATCAACCCTTCTTTTGTGATTTTGAGGAAACCCTTCATACCAGCACTATATTATATAGTGCTTATGTGACTTTGGACTATGTGTCTGTCTTGAAAAACAATACAGATACTTTCAACGAATTTCTCTGCTGAGAGACTGATTGCCAGCAACCCACAGGACCCATAACTCATCAAGGACTTTGTTTACCCACTTGATTGACTTTCCAGTTTCCCAAGCCCCACTCTTTTTGCAGAAATCATTCCAAGCTTCCAAAGTGCTAAATAGTAAATACCCATTCTTTCCAGTCTAGACAAATGGGCACAGCAAATGGGAAGGCACAGCAAACCTTTAATTTTGAACCCCACCAATCCCAGCTGTTCTCTCTTCCTCTCTACCCCAGTCTGTGATGTCAGGAGGAAGACTCAGCCACTGAGAAGGCAGATCTTAGGGGGCACATCTCCTATCCAACCAGGGGAGGGAGTTTTGAATAGATCCCAAAGTTTATAAAATGTGCTGCACTTTTCTGTATGGGTTATATCAGGGTTTTTTTTGGGTGATTATACTGTTTTGTCATCCATCTGGCCAGGTGAATAAACCTTTGTTATTGCCTTCAAACCTGGTCATGTTTTCCTTGGTTTTCAAAGTAGCATGGTGTGCCAGACAACAGACCTACTCTGTCCCACTGGTGGTAGAAAGCTGATTTTGGTAACAGGGTGTCATCTTTATTTGAGCCTCAGACAAAAACAACCAAGCAGGCATTCAATCAACCAATGGCTGTGCCACATTGTTCACCTTTTGGATTATTAAACTAAAAATGTTAATAGAGCCCTTTTTATTTCTCATTTGCGGTGAGTTTCCTATTGTTGTTGTTTTTCAACTGAGAAGCCTTTAATTAAGAATAGTTTTCTGGTTCAGATCACATAAGATTAATTAACTCACTACTCAGAAGGAGTGGAACAGGTGGGTCATAGTAAAGAATTTGGAAACCATGGTTGAGACTATGGCATTGAGTATTTCTCTGTGTCACTAGTCCTAATTCTGGCGGCATACAAAAATGGATGAGATCTGGCTTAGGTGAGGTAGCTATAATGACATGGCTATGATCCACATTCCAATCTGAGCTCCTAAAGCCCACATTAAAAGCCAGACAGCTGTACCAAGGAAGGAGTTCCAGGAGGATGACGTATACAGCCATCTTCAATCACAAAGTTGAAGTGAAACAAACAATAGAAGGCACTCTGCATTTGGTTGCTGAAGCTGTCTGGCTTTGGAAGCAGATTCTCTTCCAAGAGAGACCAGATTGGTCCTATTCCTGCTGGCCTTCTGCAAGCAGATCAAGACCTTCCTTCACCAGCAGGCATTTGGGGATGAAAAAAGGGACATGCTGCTGGAGGAAGTATGGGTGAGATTTCAGGGGTGGGGTGGGTAGGTTATAAGTTTGAAAGGATAATTTCAGTGTGTTTATTATATTTTAATTTGTTTTTATCCTAATCCACAGTTTATTATTAAATTGTTTTTTTAAAAGTTTGTATTGTACTTTCTGAAACTATGACCAAAGTGTAGGATTGTTAGCTGCCCCGAGTCCCTAGGGGAAGAAAGATGGGGTATAAATAAAGTAAATAATACTAATATTTTGTTGAAGGCTTTCATGGCTGGAATCACTCAGTTCTTGTGGGTTTTTTTGGGCTATATGGCCATGTTCTAGAGGCATTTCCCTGACGTTTCGCCTGCATCTATGGCAAGCATCCTCAGAGGTGAGGTCTGCTGGAAATGGGAAAAAAGGGGTTTATATATCTGTGGAATGACCAGGGTGAGACAATACTAATATTGCTAATAATATTTGTGTTCATGTCAATGGTATCATGATTGTAGATGTGAAGCCAATCTTTATAACGTTGTATATCTAGCTTCCAACATTGCAAATATATAAAATGATGACAACTAATGTTTTCTTAGGAACACATGATTATCCAATCACATTGCAACACAATGGAAATACTTACAGTTTTCTATAGTTTTCTTGAAACTCACAAGGATTCCTCTCAAGCACAAGGGATTCCAATGGAGTGTGTCTCAGGTCTGACAATTCATCCAGAGTCTCAATGTTGTTCTCATCAAGGGCCAGGTGGTGAATCTCAGGAATTTTTGGCAGCTGTTTGAAGGATGTAAAATGATTTTTGCTGAGTTTCAGTTCTTTGCAGCTGTAAAATATATAAGTAGGTGTGCTATCAAATACTTCATATAGAGAGACAACAAAAGAAAGCATAGCTTGGAACAATGAGAGCTGTTAAGTCCTGAAAAACAAAGAAAATGAATCCTGACCAGTGTTTGCAAGTGTGTATGTGAATATGTGGAATTCTGTAACATACCATATGCTATCATTACAATTACCATTAATATAGTGAATTCTTGAAAGGTCCTGGTCATTTAAAAAATAAAATAAAATAAAGATTACCTTGGCAAGCATATGGCACTTAGATCTGTCAATGAGTTGTCCACCAGCCAAAGCCTCTCCACTCGAATTAATCTACGAAGAATCCTTATACAGTTTTCTACTTGGTACAGGTCTCCCAAATCTTGATAGGAAAGGTTTAAACTCTGGTATAGGGGGAAAATATTCAAGATTATATTTATAACATTTATCTTGTTTATTTGAGATTATTTGCACACAAAACTTCTTTCCCACAAATTAGAACTAAATTTAATGGGAAATTTCAGCATGGTGGTTGTAGGTTTTTATTGGGGAAATGGTATGGGAAATAGTATAAAATTATCATCTCCCTCCAAGCTCCTTCCTTGGAAACTGTTAAATAGAGGCTGGGTGGCCATCTGTCAAGGGTGACTTGATTGTGCTTTTCCTGATGGCAGGGGGTTGGACTGGTCTCTTCCAACTCTATTCTATGATTCTATAATTCTATGAAAAGTTTAAATGGAGCAATGGTGCATTAATGTATCTCTACTACTTTGTCTTATTTGACCCTTTGATTTCTTGTGGGGCAAAACTCTTTATTGTTGTTGTGTGCCTTCAAATTATTTCTGACTTCTGGTATTTCTGACCACAAGGCAAACTCACCACAGTGTTTTCTTTACAGAATTTGCTTAGAGATGTTTGCCCTTGCCTCTCTCTGAGGCTGAGAGAGGCCTCATCTACACTGCTATAGAACACAGTTTCTGAATGCAAATCAACTGTATTGAACTAGTTTATATGTCTACACTGCTAAATTCTTCTTATTCTTCTTCTTCAAATTGATATTAGTAATAATAACATATATAAACTCATATAATCTAGTTCAATGCAGTTCAATCTGCATTATGTAAGTCTATATTGACCATATAATGTGGTTCAATTTGCTTTATATAGCACTGTTGATGGAGGCAAAGTATGAGTTGCCTATGTTTACTCAGTGAGTTTTCAAGACCAAGCAGAAATTTAAATCCTGGACTCCAGAATGTGAAGGCTCACTGTGAGCTAGTCAGGATTTTCTGTGTGAGTGTTCGGTTATACTTGACTGAAAATGAATTAGAGTGCCAAATTTGACCCAAGCAAGCTTAACATTGGTTGCCACCATCTATGACATATTATTTGCCACATTACTTGCCATTGTGTGAAAACCTAGCTTATTACTATATGACATATTAAATACCAAAGTGATTAAAGTCAAGACAACAGAAGTGTTTTCCTTCCAGTCTCACTGGATGATTTGGAACAAAGTGACTTGAAGAAATTCAAATCTATTTTTCAATGTCACAGGTGTTCACCATCTATCTGATACTAGTGAGCAACTTAAACTTATGCACACAATAAATGTTTGCAATCACATGTAGCTATTGTGTGCCTTAAAGTTGTTTCTAACTTATCACCAGGGTTTTTTTTTACAAGATTTATTCAGAGGGGGTTTGCCTTTTTTTTTTTTTTTTGAGGCTGAGTGTATGTGACTTGCCCAAGGTTTCCATGGGTAAGCTGGAACTGAAACTCTAGTCTCCAAAGTTATAGTCCAACACTTAAACCACTACACCATGTTAGCTGTAATCACAAGAAGACCAACAATAATTTCCTTAGTAGTTAATAAATAATTTCTATCGGTACATCAGATACATCAAGGACTGCCCCTAAGAAACATGTTCCAGACATGAGCACTGTGCCACTTTTGACTGAGAAACTTAGATGATTGGAGTTTCCTTGCTTTATTTTATAGTATGTTGAAAGGGAGTGGTGTCCAATATTGACTAGAGTTGAAGTGCTAATAGAACTGTTATTCAGTCTTTCCTTCCATTTACTATTTTCTAGATTAAATAAATAAATAAATAAATTTCTTTGAGCTGTTTTAATTCTCTGGGGGGGGGGGGGAGGAAAACCACCTATTTCCCTATGGTTTCAGTTAAGAATAACACAATATAGCTGAAGACCTTAATTTTTTTAACAAGTTCCTACCATGCAGTTTTCCCAGTCCTCTTGTAGCCTTTGCTCCCATTTCTCTTTCTCTGTCAGTTGTTTTTTTGCATAAAGAGTGTGATGTTCTCCTCTGAGAAAACACTCTTCTTCAGAAGGACCTGTTCAGACAAAAACATTGTGGAAAGGCCTAGAAATATTGGACTCTAATACATTTGATGTTGGAACACATTGTTAAAGGTAAATTCACAATGAGACTAGAGTTTTATGTGTTGGAGATGCTGGACAATAAGTTAGAAAGAAAATTTGGAATATGACAACTGCAGAAGGAATTGTTCATGCTCAGAGAAAGAAGGAGCCAGTTATCCCAACACAAAAAGAAGGGCTGATGAAGATTTGTGAACTAGCAGAGATGAACAGATTGACTATGCTGATTAAGGAGAAATCTTTGACCAAATTTAAAACATATTAGGATTTGTGTATTGCTTCTTCATAACATTGAGGGAGGCATTTGTCAACTGTTGGATTTATGAATTAGCAAAGTGCTATCAAAAGTAAAAGTCTAATTACATAATATCATTTGAAGGGAGTAGACTAATAAGGAATAACAACCATCAGATAGTGAGTGGGAAATCCATCTACCTGTCTTTCTTTTTGTTTGTGTGTGTGTGTGTGTATTTCATTTTTAATAGGTATTCGCTTGCAGTTATGTAGTAGTACATAGAATGAAGTTATGTGATTTTAGTGTTATACTGTTATATATCCAGCATTGTTGATTTGTTGCATCATTGCTATTCTAACATATTTTTCTTGAATAAAAAATTGTTATATAAAAAACAGAAACATTGGCTGATGAGATAGCTGGCAGTAAGAAATGTTGGGACTTAAAGTCCATCAACACCTGAAGAGCCAACAGATTTCTTCCCTTCCAATGTTATATTTATTGAGAATTAAGCTGAGGATTACCTGGGAAGGAATCCCACCGGAGCATTGCAGCACATCAAAATACCCGGGAGTCACTTTGGACCATGTTCTGACATATAAAAAGCACTACTTAAATATCAATCAAAAAGTGGGTGCAAGAAATAATATCATACAAAAGAATACTGGTACAACCTGGGGATCACAACCAGACACAGTGAAGACATCTGCCCTTGTGTTTTGCTACTCTGCTGCTGAATATGCATGCTCAGTGTGGAATAAATCTCACCATGCTAAAACAGTGGATGTGGCTCTTAATGAAGCATGCCACATTATCACAGGATGTCTACGCCTCACACCACCAGAGAAATTACACTGTTTCACTGGTATCACACCACCTGACATCCACTGGAATGTCAGGTGGTGTGATAGCAGCCAGCAATGAAAGGATCAAGGCATTGACATCTTCAGCCACCCTCTCTTCAGATATCAGCCAGCATGCCAACACCTTAAATTAAGAAACAGCTTCCTAAGATCTACAGCGATACTTGCAGGAATGCCTCAGTAAGTATGAGTCCAAAAGTGGCAGGCTAAAACACAGCACCTCAATTAGTGACTGAGACCAGATGAGACACTCCCTCCTGGGCACACAGAATAGTGGATGACCTGGAAGGCACTGAACAGACTGCACTCTGGCACCACAAGATGCAGAGCTAACCTTAAGAAATGGGGCTACAAAGTGGAGTCCATAACATGTGAGTGAAGAAGGGCAAACCATAGACCACCTGCTACAATGCAACCTGAGCCCTGCCACATGCACAATGGTGGACCTTCTCACAGCGACACCAGAGGCACTTCAAGTGGCCAGCTTCTGGTCAAGGGACATTTAGCATAATGCCAAGTTCTTTAAAACTTTGTGTTTTTAAATGCATTTTAACTGTACCTTCAACTGACTTCTAACATGATAAATAAATAAGGATTAAGCTTCATAGAGTTCAATCAGAATTTTTCCTAAACTGTAGAAGGTGAGCTCAACAACAGCAACCATTATATGCACTTATAAGAATTCATTTCCCAAATCCATAAAACCTCTGTGGGTTGGAACGGTAGATTATATTTGCATAATCTTTATCAGTGTTTATGAATACAATATATGTGGGAGAACTAAATCTCAAGGAAGTCAAAACTTGCAGACTGATCATTGTTTGTATATTGGAAAAGAACACATTAAATAGGAAAATTAGATAGGACTGCTTTGTTAAGATAATGTCCTGGCCATATTGGATTGCTTTCAAGATTGCTCTTGGGAACTGTATGAGCTGGTTGCCAAGAAAACAAATTGGTATTGTTTCAACTGATTCTCATTCCAAATTGCTTCTTATCTCTGTTGCCAGGGTCTGATTGTTTTGTTCCATTGTATTCTCTGATTTCTTAATACTTCATGGTTGTGGAGACAGTACAGTGCATCAGCTGCAAACCTGTGCACAGTAAAGATGCTTAATTAAATCTGAAAAAAGGAATATTTTTAGTTGATTTGGCAGTTGCCATTTAAAAAGAAATCAATTAATGAGCCACTTAACTTTAAATACATTTTCCAGTATTCCAGTATAGGTGTTTTTTTTCTGGATGCTGGAAAAAAGAGTCATTTTACTCACACATACCTCATACATTTCTTTTGTTGGATCAAGAGCCCATAATGGTTAGTGGACACCTTGTCAATGAAGTGCTTATAAAGCAATTCAAAGTGTTTTTCTTTTTGATGGAATATGCATCAGAGCTGGGAGAAATGAATACTTTACCAGTTACCACCAAGAGCAACACCAAGAGCAACACTTTACCAGTTACCAGCAAGGGAATTCAGGTGGTAACTGGTGGTGGAGGAAATTCAGGAAGGAGGAAACAAACCAGAGGTGTAGCTACAGGGTTCAAAAAGAGAATTTTGAAAATACATTCCACTATTATTAGCTTTTATGGAGCTTACAAACCATATATATTTCTATACCTTCTCTCACTCGAGGACAGTGGATTTGACTCCCTTGAACATCATGTTCTTCTAATTCATGCCAGGTGAGATACTTGAAAGAATCTGATGGAAGCTTCAAAGGAGAGAAGCAAAATAAATACATTTTCCCTTTTGCCAGACATTATTAATTATTTAATGTTATTGGAATTGTATGTGTTTTAAGGCATTGAATAATTGCCTATATGTAAGCTGCCTTGAATCCCCTTCGCAGTAAAGAAAGGTGGGATATAAATAGAAATAAATAAAGAAATATTAAATTAGCAGGGAAATGCCAGACACATTTGTTAGTTCTGATTTTCTTTTTACTTTTGTTTCCAAACAAATAACCTTTTTATTTGTTTTCAGAGCATTTTGTTTACTGGAAATGGGAATGATTTAGCTCTAAATATCTAGCATGGAAGCAGTCCAGATGGAAGTACATGCTACAACCATATTTCACGGTACCTGAAATGAGCCATTTTCATTATTTATATTGGCTACTGTAAAGATTTCCTAGCAGGGGATACTTCACATAAATATGCCAGGAAAGGCAGGCTAGACATTTGGGCCATAAGCCAACACAGTTCTAACTGTATTTAATATAAATGATTTCAATAGGATAAAACATATCTATATATACTTTTAGCAGTGAATTTGTTCTGGAAGCACATTCACTGAATTTGGGGTTTTGAGACTACCTTTTCACCTAGATTGATCTCATGGAAAATCAATTATAGTTTTCAGGAAACATTAGGTTTCCAGAGAACTAATTAGCTAGGCTTTGTTTCAGCCATGAAGGCACATCCCTTGTCCCTAGAACAATATTTGTACAATGCTCATTGGCTGTGTCTTCTGTGAATCCCAATGCTATTTGTCCTTCTGCAAAGGAAGGTCATGCATTATGCTGGCTGGCTCTTTTGTTAAATCAGCTTCTTTTTACATTTGTTGAAATGCAGAAAAGAAGAGGCAGATGCAGTTCCATTGTGCTTTGGGCTTCTCTTCATTCCAGCTGCCACTGCCCTGGCCACAGAGGGAGAGAATAAGAGGCAGGTATAGCTCCATCATTCTAAACCCAGAAACAGATGTGAGCTACCACTGCCATGGCCTTGGAGGGAGAGAAGAAGAAGCAATATCTGCTGGACTGAAACCCCTCTCACACTGTCACCCACTTTTCTTTTTGTTTTATGTCTTAATTAGTCTATAAGCTTGAGGGAAGGGAGTGGTCTTGTTGGCTTTTTACTTGTAAAGTTCTATGTACAGTGATGGCACAAGAAGCAGAGGAAAAAAAGCATCAGCAGCAGTAGTAATAGAAGTAGTAGTCTTACGACCTCATCACACGTGGTCTGGGCTCCATTGTAGATGCTTTCAACATGGAGCCAGGATGGAGCCAGACAGAGCCCATCACATGATACAGGGCTACTTCCAGTGAGGCTCTGTCCTCGCTCCATGTTGAAAGTCTCTGATAATGGAGCCTTGAGAACACGGGAAGCTTCCTGCTGGGCCCATAATATTTCTGATACTTTTCATGTTCTCATAAGGTTGAATGGAGAAAGTGTTGGGGAAGCTGGGTGACAACATTTCACCCTGTGGGCTGGTGAAGGGGACAATGTGGGGAGTGGAGCAACAGGTTTCCACGCTGCCTCCACAGATTAGCCCTGCTGTCCAATGAATGCTGTTCCCAGCTTTAAGACCTCAATGTGATGTGATAATGTTCATAGAAGTAGTAGTACAAGGGTAAAGGGAAGTAGTACTATGCTCTCATCACATCTCATCAGGCTGCATCCTAGGATGCTTCTAGAATGGAGCCTGCTAAAGCCCTTCACATGACACAGGGCTACTTCCCCTGGGTTTTTGTCCTGGTTCCACCCTGGAAGCATCCTAGGACTGAGCCCTGAAAACACAGCTAGCTACCTGTGTTCTCATAGCTTACAACGGGACAAGCATGGGGGAAGCCAGGCAGCAACACTTTCCCCCGTGTGATGGGGAAGGCGGTGATGCTGGGCATAGGAATCCATGCTGCCCCATGGATTCACCATGCTGCCCAACAAATTCCCCCACTGTTGCCTGCATTAGGGATCTCAATATAGTAGCAGAAGTAGTACTATTTTTTTAAATGTAAGCCCCTTTAAGCTACACAATGTATTCTAGAGGATACTTTTGGACTGTGAAAGTCCCCGAGACCTCTCTTACTGGTAAGCATATACTGAGATTGTTGGCAGTTTTTTTCCTAGGGTAATAAAAAAAACTGCCTGTGTTATGTTCCCATCCCCCTTTGCACAAATGATTTACAGCACAAGAGAGATTTGCAATAGAGGACATTATCTTCCTTTTGCACTAGAAATCATGAATGGGAGGTAAAGGAATTACATCAGGCAGCTACTTCCTGATCAACAGGGGAATGTGTCTTTATTTTACTTTACTTAACTGGTAAGTGGGACTAGTGCTATGTAGTACATAATGGTAATTTCTGCAAACACATGTAAGCATTTAAAAATGAAAATATATTCTTAGCCACAGAAATAAAAATATTTAAGACAAACCTATTAAAAATCTATATGAAGAATTATGACTGTGAACAGTACTCAAAGACGTAGCTGTGTTAATCTTGACTATCAGTATGCAAAGGGTTCTTGTACCTTCTTTGAAAGTAACTGAAAGAAATTGTGGTATAAGCTTTTTGTTGACCTAGCCTACTTCCTCAGATCCCTTTGCATACTAGTTGTACTGCTATCATGATCACCTTCAATTATTGATGAGGTTTGTTTTCTTGACAATATGAGTACATGTTGTAAGCTACCTTGGCTATATGAAAACAGAACAAAGTGAGGTATGAAATTAAGCAAACCAACATACAAATACATGGCTACCTGATGAGGAGATATGAAAGTGAAATTCATTCCACATCAGAGAAACTGACACTGGCTCTTGTTTCTAGAGCAGTATTTCTCAAACGCTGCTACTCCAGGTGTTTTGCACTTCAGCTCCCAGGAATCCCAGCCAGTTTAACTAGCAGTTAGGAATTGTGTGAGCCAAAGTTCAAAGCATCAGGAGGAGTACAGTTTGAGAAATTTTGTTCTACAGCAGGCATGGGTAAACTTTTTTGCTTTGGGGCCACATTGCGGTCTGGGCCAGGAGGGAGGGGGCGGGTACACACTGGATAGAGAGGGCCAGGAAAGGGCAAGTGTCATCATCAGGTTGTTCTCCTGGTATAAGGATGGGCAGTAGTTGAAATTGCTCCGGAGGGCTCCCAGCTGCTGCATGCCTTCCTCCCTCATCTTTCTGTCATAAGGATGTGGCGGGCCACCATCTCCTTATGCCAAGAGGTCAAGGATAATAAGGAGTATCTAAGGTAAGTGCCTGGGGGTCACATCCGGCCCCTAGACCTTAGCTTGCCCTTTGGTCAGGTGGTTGTGATGTCATTATTAGTTCTGAATACATTTGGGGAAACACCTCCACTGTTATAAAAACAGTCATATGAATTAGTGTTGTTTAACTCTTTTGGATGTTGTGTTTGCAGTGTAAAGATCCCTGATGTTTTGTGTTCTCCTATGAGCAAAGGGGGCGGGGGGCGGAGAGTCTCTCACAACCCGATATATCTCTCACCAAATTCCAATACTTTTTCACTGTTTTTATTGTGTGTTTGGATAGGTTAGTCAGAGTGAGTCCATGCCTGTTCTAGAGGCATCTGCATGGATCCTTGTCATTCGGTTTAAGCTCTGGGCTCAGGTTGAAGAGAACATCTTCATTTTGTGAAGGTATTTCTCATTGAAGATTCTGGGGTAAGCAACCTTTACATGGGCGAGTAAACAAAATGTTTTTTTTTTTTACTGATTGCCTCTTTGTGTTTTGGCAAATAGCCTCATTCCTGTGAATGGTTATGGATCACTGCAGTTGCTTTGAGTCTCTTCTAGGAGAGAAAAAAGTGGGATATAAATAAATATAATAGTATTACTACTACTACTACTACTAATAATAATAATAATAATAATAATAATTGAAGTCCACACCTAAGGTGGATATTGAGAGGCAATCAATTTAGTCTCTTTAACCTATTAACAGGACAATATTTCTTGCCCTGTTATAATAACTAACTTCCTACATCAGAAGGCAAAAATTTAGGGAGAAGGTTTTCATTTTTATCATTACACATGAGGAGTTGCTAAGAGGGAGATGCTAGTAATGAGGTTACCATCAATTTGGGCTTCTTTCCACAGAAACGAGAACCAGAATGCTTACTGGAGAGGCAATGCCAGAATCGCAGCTTGGTTGATGTATTTGATGTATCACTCTGTTCCTTGATGACAACACTGGCAAACAAATGTCTAGATTTCTTAAATCGGAGCAAGAAGATGATTGGGAGGTGTAGAACCTGAAGCAGCTTGTGTTCAGACCTGAGGAGCTAAGGAGATATAACAGATTAATGTCTAATATTCTAAACCACATTAGCAGTCAACATTATTGCTAGAAATTTCAAAACTGAAGGAAAGGTTCATTGGGAAGACTTCTTATTTGTAAGGGAAATACTTATTTTGGCTGCTCTTCCCCATAGCTACACTTCTGGTGTGTGTTCATACATGTGGAACCTTAGGATTCAGAATTTGAAATCTAAAAAATTCATGTAAATATGTTTATTTATTTATTTACAACATTTATATGCCGCCCTTCTCGCCCTGAAGGGGACTAATAGCGGCTTACAAGATATATATACATACATTTTATGCAATGTTCTTGAAAATAAAATCTAAAAAGCAACTAGGAACCCATAATCAGTTCTCCAATAAAGTGTCATTATTTTTGTACATCAGGTGCAGCTGGTGGATCTGCTAGTTGATGCTGCCTTCAAAAGTGGCCATAAAATCTGGGATGGATCCGCAACCCCATGATATTGGGTCCACCAATGACTTACACATGACCTGCAGCTTAGGTATATTCTCTTTTGGGCATGATGCAGAGGGATAATCTGTGCCCCCTTTTCTATGCAAAAACTCCCCACCCTGGTGGCTGCCAAGCTCAGGGAGGGGATGGTGTTATTCATTCTTATTGGAATGGATGTAAGGGAGGGGGTGATTCAAATCATGAAGGTCCACATAACCTGAGCAACTGGGGGAAAATACAGACAGGTGCCCCCTTCTGAAGAGCACCCCCTCATTTTACTCCCTTCCAAGCTGAGCCAACTGTTTCTCCTTCATCAATAAACATCAGCAGTAGGAGCCCTCCCTTCAGTCAGTCTTCACTGCTGCTGGGTGGTGGGAGGATGCCAAATTAAATGTTTAGTGCTACTGTGGTATATATAGCTCTATTCCATTACATTATTTTTGAAATTTAACTTTGTTACAATGTTGTAACCAAGAAAAATCCATAGTTATAAGTAATTAAATTGCTTGTCAATTATTCCATCCAACACATTACTTTGAAAGTTTACAGGACCAAAGACCAATATAATATTGCATTCAGTAGCTGCACATGTAAGCAGCCATGAATACAGTCACATTTCATAGTCACTGATATTGAGAGAGTGAGAGAGAGACTGCTTCTGATTCAATTTTGTCTATTCTTACTAGCCGCAGCTTTCTGGGTCTCAGACAGAGGTCTGTCATGTCAGCCCCCTGATCCATTTAAATGGAAATGTCAGTGAAATAGCCTGGGATTTCTCAGCAGACCAAGTGAGTTCTTAAAAAGAATCTATACATAGCATATCTCAAAAATTTGCTGCACTGAGCAACACTGCTCAGGACTGGACAAAGGAATGGAAGCACTAGAAGGCCAGTGAATTCAATAAAGAAGCTGAACATGGAAAGGCCAAAAGAAATAACATGATACACAAGATATTCTTATAAAGGCGGTCAAATTGTCAGAGCAACTTGACAGCTTCACTTCAGAGGTAAGGACTGTGAAGACTTCCAGGTGTGGTCAGATTTCAACTCCCATCAGCCCTTTTTAGCATAGCCAATGGGGAGGATAATGGGAGTTTTATATCAGTGATATCTAGAGGCTACAGGATGATCATCTTTGCTAAACTTGCTCTAAATGCACCTTGTTACCTTTTTCGTCCCTTTCCCTTTTTTCCTTTCCTTTCCCCTATACTGCCCTTGGCTTTACAGAACTGAGTAACACAGAGAATACCTACACCACAAGATCTTCCATTGTTTACTTTTTGATTGGGAATAAGAACTGAAATTGATTTATTTTATTGCATAACTGCAGTTTCCAAGCTTGTGATTTCAAGCAAATGAATATCTCTAAAGGCAGAGAGAAGTCAAGTGAGAAATATCTTGATGGCATGAATGTTTATTTTCAGTGGAATACCCAATTCAACAAGCCACATTCCTGTTAATCTGCAAGCCCCTTGGTCTGTCACAAAACATGATTTAACAGCTCCACAAGGGAGGAAAGAGAGATGTATCTATAACATGCTCCAGTAAGAATGCTAATAGAACCTTTCTTCTAAGGAAGAGTACATGGTCAATATAAAGTACTAAAAGACTTCAAATTCAAGCAGTGTCGCTATTTGAGAAAACTTCTGAAAAGACCTATGTGTTGCTGTCACAAAATTCACTGTTTGGAAAAAATGAATTAAAAAAGGAAATTTGCAAATCTCCTTTCCATGTGGTCTTTTGTTAAGGCAGTCTACAATTTTTCAAACTTTTAAAATATCTGCATAAAAAGGAAGGGAAAAGGGAATCCAGGACTTCTGAGACCAGCTGGTTTACTTCATTATCCAAACATGGAAAGGTGGTACTGAAATAAGCCAGTTGGCCTCAAAGGGACTATTAGATGCCTCCATCACACCACTGCAATTTGTTTTTCCATTCTTGTTTGAGATATCCAGGATCCCTATGCAGGACAAGATCTGGGATTTTTTAAGGCTGGGCTGGATAATTTGTGGCACACATGTATTCTCAGGGTCCAAGAGGGTTGATGGCTCTTGACTTTTCACTTCTAGAAATCTACCACCAGTTGGTACCTCAATGTCTTCTGCCTTTTCCCTAAATTTGCTTCTAGTGAGGATGGTTATGCAGAGGTACAGCGTCTGATATCTTAGTATATCCTTTGTATATCCATTGCTGTGAAACCTGAAATGGAAGATGTAGCATGCCCTGCTGGTGGGCTATGAACTGAAAGTTGGTCTAGGTAGACCGTTGGTGTAAACTTACATGGTTCTGCTTGTGTTTTTAGGGCATCCACCTATCTACAGACATTTGATGTTATCTTCACAGTCCAGAACAATGGTTTGAGACACCTATCTGCCAACATGCACCATCTCCCTTTTGATGTTGTCACCAATCACCATAGTTAACTGTCCATGGTTAGAACAGCACTCAGCTTATCCTTAATTTTGCAGGTTACAGATGGTAAAATGAAGGGCTCATTTTATAAACATCCATGTATACATTTCCATTGTTGTTGTTTTTTTGTAAGAGATGGCTGTTGTAGTGGTGTCAGTTGGAGGACTGACAAACATCTTCTGCATGTATTTTTGTGCACCAGGCTCATTTATGAAACTGGACATCAAAATGACTTTTACATGCCTCTGTTACTAAGCAGATAAAAAGTAATTTACTGTTTTATTGCTGTCCATATAACTACATTAGATCATTGCTGTGTGCAAGGTTTTGGAAATTATCTGAGAAAACCACCCTGCAAATGGGTGACTTTTGTTAGAGTTATGCAGTGAAGTCATTTAATGCATAATTGGTGTCATAAAACATAGCATAGCGCAATGGATCAATGTGATGGAATCTTGGGAGTTATAGTTTGGTGGGGCACCAGCGCTCTTTGGCACAGAAGGCAAAACATTTTGGGAAATTTTAACTCCCATAACTAAATAGCACTGAGCCATAGCAGTCAAAGTGCATTAATTCTACAGTGTAGATGCATACTTAGTCAAACTATCCTGTACTGGACTAAATAAGTCACTGGTGGAGCTTGCAGTGGTGGTAGAGATACTCTTCTGGAATACATTTTTCAGACCTGTCCAACATTTCCAGGCCAAAAGATACTTTTTCAAAGTTCTGATCATTACAGACGCAGGCACAATGAGTGAACATCACTTCAACTACTGAGATTAAGATGATTGTAGCTACGTACAATACCTCATGTGGTTTTAAAACTCAAAATAGGTACAGTCATGGTCTCATCTAGATGGTAAATTTCTCCACTTTCCTTCCTTTTTTCTTATTATCTCTTAAGGGTGAACTAAAACTAATTTCAGTGGTAGAGGCAATATGCAATTTAAAACAATTATTGCTCACCATATTTTAAACTACCCCAACCTTCAGTCTAGATTGGAGTGTCCCTTGGCTCAATTGACTCTCCAAATGGTCCCTCTGGGAAATGTGCTTGAGATTATAGCAACCACTAAGAGAGGAAATGAGATTCACACTCTCTATCACGACAGAGTTATTTCCCTTCTTTTGCCCGCAGTGACAAATAGGTAGTTACCATAAATCACAGATCTTACTTCAGGAGAGGAATTCATTTCACTAATGCTCTAACAACAACCTGCTGTGCCTCTAGCTTTTCTGGGAGAATGCCATTTTTCAGGTGCTTTTCCTAACATTTTAAGAAATCTCAGAGTATGCCTTTGGGGACAGACCAGAAGCAAGTCAATATAAACCAGTTTGTTCTGACTCATACAGGCATGTCCATCATTCATCGATTATGATGTCAAAGGATCATTTAAATGTGTGAATGAACCATCACTCAATTCTGAATCACAAAAAGTGCCAATATTATATTCTTCATGAGATAGTTCATCAGAGAGCAATCAAAGGTGGAGAAATCAAGTGATGTTACACAATGTGAACACTATCATTGCAAGGCAAAAGCCTGACCATTGATTCTTTACTGGGACTTTGAAAAAGTTTCTTGTTTAGACTCCAGTTCATCACTGAATCTCAGTGATATGTTGAAGGTTGAAAATCTGAAAATATCTTCTACTACTTGGATGATTTGTATTCCCAGCTGGGGAAAAGAGAACAGGCTTCTTTACTTGGAAGGCCACTGTTTTTGTTGTTGTTGTCGTTGTTGTTGTTACAGCATCATTGTCATCATCCTGTTCTCATTCCTGTTCCTAAAGATTTTCTTCAGTCATCTAATTTGTTTTGTTTTGGGGTTTCCTTGATTCCTACCCCCGCTCCCCAAAATAACAGCTGCAGGAAGTTCTTGTATCACCATGCTTTTAGAGAACCATAATTTGGTCGAGAGCTTGGAAATGTCATGTTTATGGACTACAATTAGAGCAAGTGACAGTGTTGTCTGAAGGATTTAAGGTTTTAAATTCCAGAAGATGCAATTATCCTCAGATCTGGTTAGATACATTCTTTACATATTGCAAATACCAATTCTACTTCCTCTTCTCAAGACAAAGCTTTTTCTTTGCAAAACATATCATGCTTAGAACTCACTGATATGGATTTAGTCATTCAGATCATAGGCCTGTACATACAGTATTTAATTTAAGTACACAAATCAAATAATTGATTGCTCTTATGGCAGCAAATCATCTAAAGCAAGCACTACTTAAGATGGTACAAATATCAGGGGAAATGATGTTTTCCAAATATTGATGGAAGCCTCCACCCCCTCTTTCATCAATCCCTTCCAACTTTGTCAGAGATCAGAGATGATGGGAACTATTCTACAATAACTTTTGAAGGATCAGTATTTTGGAATTCATGTTCTCTGAGGAAACGCACTGAAGGGAATCAAGATCATTTAAGGTCACATAGAATAATTGAATTGCAAAACTCATAGGGCCAAGAAGAGCTGTTAGTGGAACTCCAGCATATTCAAATTGGTTCCTGAAATTACAGGTTTGTCTGAAACTCTTGATATTTCGAACAGCAAACACACAGCGGGGAGGGGGGAAATACCAATGCACTGCTGTAAATGGTTCTGAGAAATTTGAGGCTCCCCATGTATAGCACAGAAAGGATGCATGGCTGGGTTGCTGGTGATCAAGTCAACACTCACTGAGCATGTGGGATCAGATTGTCAGCTTTTGAAAAGTAAAACTTTGATACCATGTTAGGAGGCAGATCCAGAACTGGAAAGATGTTGAAGTCAGGCTTTTTTTCTTTTTTGAGGAACGCATGTAGAGAGATCAGTAAATTCAGTAAGCAACTCAATCCTCCAATGTGTCCAACAATTAAACAGCACAATTCACAAAAAGACTTTCCCTCAAACTGGTAGCTCCCATAAGACTACACATCATTCTTGGACAGCACAGCAATGACTGGAGTTGCAGCCTAGTGCATCTGGAGAGTCACAAGTGAAGTCTAATACAGATAGGAGTATCCCTTATTTGAAATGGTTGTGACTATATCTGTTTTGGATTTGGAATTTTTCTGAATTTTGGAATACTTGTATTTTCATATACAAGTATGTACCCATATGTACATAATAAAATATCTTGGAGATGGGACTCAAGTCTACACACATAACTTGAAAGTAATTTTATACACAATATTTTAATTTGTACATGACACAAAGTATATATAAACTATCAGAAAACAAAAGTGTCACGATTTCAACCACCCATCTGGAATACATTGGGTGTTTGAATTTATTTGAATTCTGAATAATGGATGCTCAACCTTGTAAACTCCTCACAGGCAAACAAGTCAGGGAGAAATTGACAACTAGTCACTGAATTTAAAATTTTAAAGCAAGTTCTCCCTTCTTTCTTTTTCTTTCTTGATTGGTTGACAACCTTGAAATTCCTGGTTTACACAAAACATCCTCTGAACATGGCTGCTATTTTCATTCTTCCCCTTTGTTCTGTCACCATTGTTCTGGTGATCTGAGATCACCTCTTCATCTGCCATCAGAAGAACCTAACTGCCACAGTTTGAAGGCTTGCTGTTTCAGTTTGTCACATTCAAGCCATTATGGACAACAATATATCTTTTGGGGTTTCATCAGAATTGTTGACTATTCAAGTAGAACAGTTTGGGAGCAATTTTACTGATGCACATTCCCTTCGAAACATGTGGCTGCCCCATGAATGATTATCCCAACAGTGTGGCATCCATTTACTTGCTGCGCAGAAAATGCCTCCGAGTTGCCATTCAGGCCCAATTACCATAATTAGCCATATCACATACAATTAGCCCTTGCCGGTGGATATATAACTTGAGCGCCAGGCTAGTCGTCAATAACGCTAACGGGTGTACATTTAATATTGCATTTGCACAGCGGCTTGTACCTGCTTTTCATAAATAATCCATTGCTTTGAAGATGCTATTTGTCTTCAGTAATGAACAAATGACACATTTCTTCTTTGCTTTCATAGCCCCAAAGCCGGCCTCAACTATTCAGTCGCTGCTACTTCTGCATTTATAAAGATACTTAATCCTGTAACCCTATCTTGGTTTTTTTCAAAGTGTGTCAAGTGAACAGAGCACAGACTAAAGCTACTTTTCCATTTTCGGACTCTTACCTTTCAGACATGGTGTGCTGCTCCTGCTGCTGCTGTTGTTGCATGAAGTTTTCAAGGTTCCCATGAACTCATTAGTCTGCTGCGAGGGCATTTCTTTCCATCTTTCCTCCTTCTGGATTTGCAACTGGGCATCCCTCTAAAAATGCAAAGGCCCTTTGGGGTTTTGACTGGAACTCTATGGACGCGATGTCACCAGGGAGACAGCCTGTTCAACGTGCAATGGCTGTTCCCTTTAGGAGGTATTGTTACCAATCTCTTAAGTGCATCAAGGGATTTCCTGTGTTTCTTCAGCCAATCACAGAGGATCTCTCCACCCCTCCACTCCAGCCAGGACATTTCGGGAGGCTGTTATACACTTAACAGGATACCTGCTTAATTACCTGGCTAAATATCTCATGTTCCCAATTGTTTCCACCTTGCAGGACTTTTCTTTGTCTCTAATTGTGAATAATAAGTATGTTTGCAAGAAAGAGACTTTGGTGATTAAATTAGAGGGTCTGGTTGACTTGGACAAAATCATCACCCCCTGAAATGTCTTAAAGAGAAACCTTAGTGGCACAGTTATTATTATTATGTTTATTTCTACTCCTCTTTTTCTGTCGAAGTGGCTAGCATTAAAAGCATTTCAATACAATTTAAAATCTAAAAATATACAAACATTAAAACAGAATCAAGTATAAATGGTATTAAAAAATCAATTAAATCACATATTCAAAGCTAAAAATTACAGCACCCCTGACTTGATCTTCAAAACCTTCTTCTTTAAAAGCCTACCTGAATAAAAAGGTTTTAGCCTGTCACTGGAAGGACAGCAGGGAAGGAGCTATTCTGGCTTCCCTAAGCAGGAAGCTCCAGAGTTGTGGGAAAGCCATTGAAAATGCCTTCTCTCTCGTTTCCACCAACCAAGCTTGTGGTTATATTGTATATAGAATCAAATAGAAACCTCATGGGCCATCCAATCAAATCCCCTGCCAAGAAGCAGGAAAATCACACCAACAGATGACCATCCAGCCTCTGTTTAAAAGCCTTCAAAGAAGAATTTTCCACCACACTCCAGGGCAGAGAATTCCACTGCTGAACAGCTCTCACAGTTAGGAAGTTCTTCCTTGTGTTCAGGTGAAATCTCCTTTCCTGTAGTTTGAAGCCATTGTTTCTCATCCTAGTCTCCAGGGCAGCAGAAAACAAGCTTGCTCCCTCCTCCCTATGAGTTCCTCTCACATATTTATACATGGCCCTCATCATGTCTCCTTTTCAGCCTTCTCTTCTGCAGGCTAAACATGCCCAGCTCCTCATAGGACTTGTTCTCCAGACCCTTGATCATTTTAGTTACCCTTCTCTGGACACATTCCAGCTTGTCAACATCTTATTTATTTATTTATTTACTTTATTTGTATACTGCCCCTCTCGGCCTGAAGGAGACTTGAGGCGGTTAACATTTGGCAATCAATGCCCTTCAAGATAAAAATATAGTCAAAACAATTACATATAAAATAACCATGTAAAACAGTAACAATTAACAAAAACATAAATACAAATCTCAGCATCTTCCTTAAATTGCAGTGCCCAGAATTGGACACAGTATTCCAGGTGTGGTCTGATCAAGGCAGAACAGAGGGGTAGCATAATTTTCCTGGATCTAGACACTATGCTCCTATTTATGGAGGCCAAAACCCCTTGGCTTTTTTTTCCAGTGCATGACATTGTTGGTTCATGTTTAACTTGTTGTCCACGAGGACTCCAAGATCTTTTTCACAAGTATTGTTGTCGAGCCAGTTGTTCCCCATTTTGTATTGCTGTGACCATCCTCACAGGTTACAATCTGCATCTACAGCCCACACCATTCTCAGTTGTCCCCCACCACCCCAGAACGGTTTTTAGGAACAAAGGAGGAAGCACCACCTGTAAACTATTTACACATGGAAAGTTAACAATCCAAACCAGGACCTTCCGTAAATATTCCAGAGTTCCAGAGTCAAGGAGCAGCTACTGAAATGGCCCTCTCTCTCATTCCCACCAACCAAGCTTGTGGTTATATTGTATATATTTTAACTGTGAATATTAAAGCATCCTGATATTATGGATGAAAACCTGAATCCATGAGTTTACTAAGCCATGTGTGTAGACAAGGTGACACACTGGCAATTGGACTCTGCTGATACATGAACGGAAGCACATGTGTTTGCTGTGAAAGGACTCTGCTGTAGTTTTGCTTGCTATCCAGCTTGCAGCATGTTGGGGAGGTTGTGAGTTGGAAACTATATCTTTTCTTTCTGCATGTTTGGTCATCTGGTCAAGGCAGGCTTCATCCAGTTTTTCCATATGGTTTGGAGGTCTGTAGTAGACCCCGCAACTAAATCCTTTTCAGTCCTTATTCTCTTAATTCTTATCCAGATGCTCTCAACCTGGTTTCCAGGATTGAAATCTGCATCTCTTCACAGGTGTAAACATCCTTGACATACAATGCGATTTCACCCCAGCTCCTGTTTGGCCTATTTCTCTGAAATAAGTTATATCCATCTATTGCTACATTCCACTTATAGGACTCAGCCCTCTGGGTTTCAGTTATGTCTATTACGTCTTAACTGTTTTGTTGTGTTAAAAGTTCCAGTTCATCTTATTAATTTCCCATGCTCTGGGCATTAGTGCAGAGGCATCTAAACCCATGTGATGTTCCCTGTAGCTGGTTTTTTTTTTTTTGAGATTATTCTCCTTTTGCTGCTTGGTACTTGCACTCTTTTTAGCCTTTGGGCTGATTCATTTGGGCCTTGATAAACTACAATTCCTTGATGTAGTACTGTTCCCTATCACATTATGTCATCTGTATCATACTACCACTTTTCCTCTCCTCTCCACATGATTCCCTTGTCTCTTTTATTTATGGAAAACCCTACCATTAACTTTCTATTCCACTACATTCCCATTACCTACCTCAGTGTGATGGGTCCTTTTCGCTTTTGTGCTGGCATGCTGGGAATCACATAATATCAGTGGGCACGTTTTTCTTTCCTCTTCCTTGCTATTCCCAGAGTGGTTATATTACATGTCTGTCTACCTACCAACCTACCAACCTATCTATCTATCTATCTATCTATCTATCTATCTATCTATCTATCTACCTACCTATTGTACAACTTTGCTGATCTGTTTTAGTTTTTTAATGCTGAGCTTGCAAAACTTCACTAGAAATTTTAAAAAAGGAATGCTGAATAGGGAATAAGTCAGGAAGATGGAGCTGAGTAGATGAGTCGATCATATGATCACAGATTACTGAACAACCACAGCTGTGCTAATTAAGAGAAGGTTCTCAAATCAGTATTTATCCATTATTTACGCTGACACAATTGTTGTGACACAATTGTTAGTGTGAGAAAGTCCTAAATTAAATTCCTTAACTAAGTAATGTATCCTTGCCTGAACTCCCCTCCCAATTTGATGAAAACATCATTTACCCACACTGCTGTCTCCTTCTCTCCATGGAATTGATACCTGATAGAATAGATGTGGGTGGAGGGAGCTACAGTTGTGGCAATAGTGTCATAACTGTCATTGTGAATACAAAAAAATAAATTAGATGCACCTCTCCAGAACATTTTTGTATATTTAGCAAATTTAGTTAATATATTTAATGAAGTAGTTAATACAAGATTCTGTCTAACATTTTCTAAGCAATTAAGGGCTAGATTAATTAGGTTTATGCCTATATCCATTTAAGCACATGATACATTCAAGAGTAATTAATAAGCAGACTGTAGTACTGAGATTGTCAAGAATTCTTAGTCTGGAACGTTCAATTATGCCAGAATATAAATCCCACTATCAATCCATTTCCCCCATAAAATGGATTTTCTTGCAATCTTCAAATTAGTATTGTCCTGTATAGTTAGTTTAGCATGACCACATTAATCAAAATGCAATTGACTACAGTTCATACATCAAGCCACCCTGGCAGCAGAAATGGCAGGAAGCACTATCTTTTTCCTCCTTTAATGGATAGCGCCTAAGGCAATCCATCTAAGAAGAGGTGCCAAAAAGGTTGATGCCAGGATCACCCAAGGCGGCTAGTTAACTGAGTCATACTTGTCAGGTATTTCTACAAAGAGATAGTCCTTATGATAGAAACTAGAATGAAACCCATCTTCAGAAAATACAGTTGCACAATTTTATTTTAAAAATGGGGTACTGAAGGCATCCATGTTAATTTTGTAAACGTAATATTAAATTTCCGGGAGAAAAAACAGAAGAATAATTTGAAGAACATACAATATCCGTGGTTAGACATTAATCCTAAGTATACCTTACCCTAGATTCTTAATTGGAATTGTTGCTGATTGGAATGATTCTGCTCTTTACAAAAATGGCACTCTTATTTTAAACATGGTGTCTATATGATATTCATGAAGTAGTTCTGGGTATTTGGCAACACTTGTTTCCCTATTATTTAATATGTAAGGGAGTGTTTTCTTCTATATATCCCATTGATTGAGGCCTCCTGGAAGAGTGCTACGTGGTGTTCCAAGTGTAGGGTCAATACACTATGTGAAGACATGGGAGTGGGCCTTCTCAGCAGTGGCACCCAACCTGTAGAATCCCCTAACATTGGTTTCAATGCAGGCTTCATTTGGTCACCAAATAAAATTGTCGTTAATGCCTTTGAAAACTTCCTGATAATTTGTTAAACTGACCAATACATTTTTAGTCTACTTAATCATTTTTCATGTTTTAAATTTGTTTTAATTGGCTTACAATGGCTTTACTGGTATACTATCATGTAATCTTGTGACATAGGGAGAAATATAAATATTTTTATAATACATAAATATATTAATCACCCTAGGACAAAATGTGAAAGAACCAAAGTTCAGTGCAAAATTACATGCTTTCTGTGCAAAAATAAGCACAGGTCTAATTCTGAAATTCCCTGTTAAAAAGATCACTGCCTGGAAAATGGAAGGTTGATTTGTTACTTAGCTCTTACTTCTGTATTAGATGTTCCTTTAATAAAATTGGCTGTCACTTTTAAGGTCATTGTCAAAGAGCAAGGAGGATTTCAGGCTAGGAAAAGTATTATCAGTATTAGCCTATGTGCCATCTCATCATGAAATATATGGCAAAACACCACCTATATACATCTTCTGTAGATTAAGGTTAAACTTTGATTTACTGTCTTGAGATTATCTCTAGATTAGTGTGGACAGAAGTCTTATCTTGCTCAAGAACTTGTACACTAATTCCAGAGTGTAGAAAGAGTTATTTTTTGACGACGTTGGATAGAATGCTATAAGCAACATGGTCACTGTGTTCACTGGCTAGGGAATTTTGGGAAATATAGTCCAAAACACAAAGTTGAGGGTTAGGATAGAGATTGGTAAGCAATAGATTTCCTTTTAATTGTGTATTTAAACACACGTGCGCATGCACACACACACATTGTTTCCTTATATATTAATGATATTTTACCATTCTTTAAAAGACTGTATTTCCCCCCAGCTATACAACATCTTATATCACCCTGTATTGTTATATGTCGCTTATATGGTAATTCTTTATGTAACTCAAATTGGATGGAGACAGTTGCTGAAATA